TAACATAAAAAAATTTACTCGAATGCAAAATTCATGTGATGAACTTCAAATACAAACCATCAATTTTGGCGGGGATGGAACGCCATATGGATCCGCCCTTGATTCTTTTGTAAATGTACTTATATCTATATTTTTCTCTATTGTAATATATCTTTGGTATAAATCAAGCATATTGTATTGTATTGTATTGTATATGAAAATAGACGAAACGTCAAAATTTTTTTCAACACATCGTGCCTCAAACCGAAAAAAAGTAGAATTCAAAATTATTTATCTGGTGATTGCTTATTAGATTCTCCTAGACAGGAACATCCTTAATCGATGCTCTCAACAAAGATCAATGCATTGTTGTAAGCGAGGATTATCACTAAGGTTTTATAAAAAATTGAAAAAGATTTCATTAAGGTGACTGCCTACTTTTAAAAATTGATTTAAACTTTTTTTTAAACTTCGATTTTCCAAATTGAAATTTAATGCTGATTCTAAATTTGGAAAGAAAAATAAGTAGGTGTCCCGAGCTCGTTTTCGAGATAATCAGCATTTAATGGAAGCCTACGCACGAGCTTTTGGAGTAAAAATTGCGCCACCGGAAGTGATTAGAAAAAAATTAAGATTCATAATATAATAGTTATTCGCAGACTATATGATTGCACGAAYGAAGGCTAATCAATCATTCTACAATAATACATGGATATTTTCGACAAAAAGACAAAGAGACACATTGATTTGTCTTATTTTGTAGTTTCGGTGCTCKTAAAAAATCTCATAAAGTCGAACAAAAATCCCTACAAAAAGCTATTTTTTCATGTGTTGCTGATTTAAACTTTTCCTAAAATGTTGATATAACCTAGATTTTTAGGAGTTTTTTCGAATAAGCTATTAAAAAAAAAAAAGAGTCCCGTGCAAAATTTGTTAATTTATTCGAATATTGAAATCTTAGGATGCGCCTGCGATAATTAGCATAATCCAGCGGATCTTGGCAACAACAAGAAAACATTCACTGGAAGAAAAGCGAGAAGTTTCACGAAATCGTCGAACTTTTTCTACAAAAATACGCTATGCCAGGTACTTAATCTCACGTACGAACTTACAGTAGTATTAATTAATGTTCCTAGATTGTATTTCATGTATTGTTATGGTTGTTTGCTGTAGATAAAGTGCATTTGTCGAGCATACATGAAGCAGCTCGTTATGGCGATGTCCTTGAACTCCAGGCCATGGTTCAAAGAGGCGCTGGTATTAACGCTTTAGACACGAAATTTAAATTTACTCCACTTCACTGGACAGCTTTACATGGTAGACTTGAGGTATCTAACTACTTTTCTCCCTTTCTGAGTCTTAACCCACAAGTGTGACAACAGCTTCACTCACTGCTTTGATTAATCTGTCATTCAATGTTTTGTTTTCAAAATATACGTTTTTGACCCCGCAATTTTATATTTCTAAATGTTAAATATTTTATTGGATTTGAGTTTTAAGATTGCATTTTTTTGTATACAAGCGAAGACATCAAGGGTGAAAACGAATGTTGTCCTAGAGACAATATATGTCCATGGATATGGCATACTTCAGTTGTTTTGATCTATTATGTACTATCAAGGAATTCACCTACATTTACCAAAATAACGGCCGGTCATCAGACATTGTCAGGCCAGAATTGGTTAGAACTTGTCTGGTCAAATCTTTGCCTTGCTTGTCCACTTTGACCATATGGTAACATTGAGCCAGAATGGAATGGCTGAGCTAAAACTAATGACCTTGAGTGACTGGTTAGCTGTTTAATATACAGTCAATTCAAAAAACATTGACGTTGACCGACTCAAGCCTACGCTAGTAGTAAAGATAATGATGGTGAGAAACAATGCATTAAATGCATGTCTTTGGGTTTAGGGAAAGAAAAACAAAGTAGCTATGATTCAGTTCACAATTTTGGAAATATGAAGGCATTAAAAAAAATGTCTCCTTCAACACTATTCCCCCTCGCCTACAAAGGTTGGTGCTGTAAACCAGGCATACATGTAACAGTCGAATAAAATTATGGAGTCAACTTGGCTTCAATGATTGCTACCCAGAGTTCCTTTCGGTCCAGTCGCGTAGGCTTGTGTTGGTCGACGACAACGTTTTTTGAATTGACTGTATTATTTGTTCTGAAAGGCAGGATTTTATATATTTTAATATTTTAATTTATTTCTTTATGACAAATATCACAACAGATTTTGCTACATGTACATGCATTCCCCTCATGTTATAATTAAACTCAAGCTTTTTTGCCAGCTGTGATTACAGGTTATATGGAGTATAACGACATAGTATCATTTGTTTATCTAGTGTTTACATTGGTTGCTATGGCATGGAGCGGATCATTCTGACAGAACCCCCCAGGGCTGGACTCCGTCTCATCTGGCAGCAATAAGAGGACAAGATGCTTGTATACAGGTGAAAATTTAATAACTACTGGTAACCATGTAAAGATGATGCTACTGCTACTGATGATGATGATGCCAATGTTGAAAATGATGTAGGTCATAATGATTATTGTTATGATGACAATGATGCTAATGTTAATGATGGTGATGATGTGAGTGGTCATTGTACTGTATGATAGTGATGGTAATACTGATGTTGATGATGTTGATGATAATGATGATCAAATGGTGCTGCTGATGATGGGGATGATGATGATGATGTTGATGATGTTACGTAATGATTCTTGGTGATCAGATGTCGCTGCTGCTCCTGATGATGGTAACTACTGTATATGATGATTTTTGTGATATTGATAGTGATTATGATAGTGATGAAGGCAGTGATGCTTTTGTTAGTGGTAGTGATGATGTCAATAATCATTGTACTGGTTATGATGATGAAGATCAACGATGATGGTGATGTTGATGATGATAATGATGATGCTAATGTTGATAATTTAGGATGTTGATGATAATAATGAAGATTATAATAGTGATGATTCCAATGATCATGGTATGTCAGTGATGATGATGGTGTTCATGATGATGATGATGATAATATTGATGATTATTTGTGACGACCATACCATAATACTATGATGATAACATCTTTTCCTATTTCCATGGTTACAGTCATTAGCGGCCAATGGAGCTGATTTGAATGCAAAAGACAACAGAGGTTGTACCCCTGCTCATCTTGCCGCATCCCATGGAAACTCTTACACCTTACAGTCCATACTGCGGCATGGAGTGGTAAGCTTAGTAATCTTTTACAATTGCAATAACTGGGAAGAATAAACTCAAAGGACAAGAGAGGGCAAACAAACAAGTCTGCTCTCTAATATCATATTGCATCTGATGATTAAAATGATGACTAAGTGCAAGAGAGGCAGCATATTTGTAGTGCCTGCTGCCCACATGAGGGAATATATGGGAACACTTTAGTTTTCCTTGATTTACTCAAGGTCTCATTTAAGAGTTTCCATCCATGATGTTAAATCACCTTGTTCTGTACAGGATGTAAATGCAACAGACAATATGGGATGGACAGCTGTTCACTGTGCAGCCTTCCATGGAAGACTGGGATGTCTGCAGGTAAACTGCTATCATATTGCGCTAAAACCAGAAAGACAGACCGACATGTTCATTTCATCTTGAGTTAGCTGGGCCCAAGCTGTAGTGAGCTGTAATAAGCTCATTCTCAATAGCAAGAAATCAAACAATTTGCCATCACGACAAAATAGGCTTTTGGAAGATGTCAATCAAAATATTTACATAACATTATTCAGAAAACACACTCCCCTATATTCGCTATACGGGTACGTGCCACCAAACAGGGTATGGTTTTCAGCGATTCTACTCTGGAACAGGGTATATAAAGTCGTGCTTGCTCTGGAACAGGGTATATGAAATCACACTCCCTCCTCTCTGGAACAGGGTTTTCAGCAATCTTGCTCTGGAACAGGGTATGAATTTCAGTAATTTTTACTCTGCAACAGGGTCAGGGTTTAGAGGGCTCAGGGGCACATCCCTACCCTAAACGGGCAAGAGTACCCCCCCCCCCCCGGATTGAATCTCATTAAATCACTTTGGCCACTTTTCTCTCATGGGTGACCTACAATACTCTGCACTGGCTATTTAGAACAACTATAATTATTATATGATGATACCTAATAATCAAGCTGTTTCTTATTGTCCGCATAGCTACTGGCCAGATGGGGTGCAAGCTTAGATGAAGTGGACAATGCTGGCAGTATCCCAGGTATGGAAATCAACATCGAACAATTAGTACTATAAATACCCAAAGACATGTCCATTTATCTTTTCAAATGTGGGGCAGGGGAGTTTCACCATGGACAAATTTGGCCACTATAAATTTTCACTACTTATCATATAATACTAATGCAAAGGTGGAGTGGAGTAGGTGCTGGCTTTTTTCAGTCATTGGTTGAAGTTGTTAACTAAGTCTGTTATATCTTCCATGTACGTGTTCCATATATTAGCTCACCTTGCCGCCAGCGAGGGTCACCTTCCATGCTTGAAGTTCTTGGTATGTTCTGGCACCAGTATTGACCACACCCTAAATGCCAGGAATGACCAGGTAATGGAAAAAAATGATACATAATAATCAATAAAATCTCTCTCTCATTTAGTTGTAATGCATTAGTAGAGTCTGTTTTTGACCATAAGCCTTTTCATAGTTTAAGAATCGATTCCACTGCGCATGCGATTTTATCCCGAACTTCTCACCTTCTTTTGACTAAACCTTCTTTTGTTCTTAATTAAACAAAAGAAGGTGAAAAATTCGGGATAAAAACGCATGCCCAGTGGAATCGATTCTTAAACAATGAAAAGGCTTATTGCAACATCGTACAGTACCTGAACAAAGAGCCCACTAATAAAATTAAAAAATTAGCAAAACCATGCTGTTTGTCTCATAAGATACCAAGGTTGTGACACATGGCACTTCAATGATCTGGTTCAGCAACTAAACTGGCTCACTCTAGTACAACCGAGAGATAATCATCTTTATTTAATGATGCATGGTGTGCAACCTGTACTAAAACTGGGCCACTTAGACAAGATTAGATAAGAGAACCAATTAAAATGAAGAATGAAAACTATGCTTTCCAACTTTGGGTAGTGGAGCCAATCAGAAACCTAGATGTCATGAGGATTGTAATTTGACCCTGATGTTACATGTAAACAACTAGACAACCATCTTCATTTACTCGTGGAAATATAGAAAAGAATATGTTGAACCCACTAATTGCATGGTTCTCTTATCAAACTGGTCAAAGTGGCCAGCCCTATTAGGTACACTATCCAAGTGTCATGACACGGTAGGCCCCCAACTTATTTTGAGAAAACCATTTATTTTAATAATTTTGGTTTCATTTACAGGGAGAAACACCCAAAAATCTTTGTCAACAGTTTTATAAAAATGAATGCATGGAATACCTGAAAGCTGTTGGTGAGTTAAAATGGAACTGATCACTGTTTTCCCATTTCAGACCACATGTCAATCCCTAGAGATTGAAGCATTTTATCTATTTATAGTTATTGTGCTTGAGAAGACACATAAATATGAATAAAACTAAAACAAAGAATGTTATACCCCATTCACACCAAGGCTTAAACATGTTTTAAAATGGTTTAACTAAACAGGTTTGAAAAACTATCTACGAACACTGCACAATCTTTGGTAAAATAATGTGTGTAAGCTATCCTTTGTCTTGCTCTGATAATATTTTCTTGCTCTGATGATATTTTCAAGGGCCACAGAGTCATCAGTGTTTTTTAACTATACTATCATGCATTCACCCTCTTGAAGTAAAGCCTTTTGTTATCATTATTATCATAGTCATTATATTGTAGGTTTCTACTAGTTTCTCTTTTTTTTCTAATGAAAACATAAGTTTAACTAAACACGTCTAGGTGTGAATGGGGTATATTCTCAAGAGATTGACGCATGGTGTAAAATGGGAGAATATCGATTAGGCTTGTTATTGGTATAGATCTAGATCTACATAATATAATCATGTTGTCTAGTCTAAACATGGGGCATGAGCATGGTTTATCATGTGACCAAGTGCATTGAGATTTGACAGGATTATAAGTCTGTGTGCACTGTGATTGGTTGAAGAGATATCAAAGTCAATTAGCAAGTAATTAATGTTCTTATTATTATTTGTTTTGTTTTGTTGTAGAATATGATCTGCTTCACCCTGAAGATGAAGAAAGTAAGATGTCTTTTGAATCATTAAATTAGAATAAAATAAATTATCCTTGTTTTATGAGGTTTGCGCTTAACAGCCTGTGGTTAAAGATCTGTGGACCTTGATCCATGATCAGTTTAGAACTTGAAAAGTTGGGTACTGCAGAGGGAAACAAACTGGAACCCAGAGAAATACATGCAAAGCACAGATAGAACCAACAAGCAACCCTACTCAACACTGACATGACCACAGCAGTTGAGAGTGGCAGTGTTGCATTTCAGCTCACAAGATCCATGCTTCCCATCATTCTACATGCATTCACCCACATTTATCCCCACATGCCAGAGCACCCTAAAAAATGTGGTGTGCAGGGTGTGGGAATTGTCAGGGTTTATGTTTGGAAAACACAGCAGACTGGTATGCATAGGACTGAAATTTAGTTAAGGGGGTAGCCACACCCTTCAATCTAATACCCTCTTTGCAGTTGTCAGATTTTTTCACCTTGTAATTCATGTGCCTATCTTGTTTCCTGTAGACTTGGCATTCCCTGCCCATGTAGCAGCCTACAATGGTGATCTGCCTCAGTTAAAGATGTTAATAGAGACTGGTGTTGTGTCAATCAATGAAAGAGACAGTAAAGGATCTACCCCTGCACATAAAGGTACACAGATATACTCTGTTATGATATATTATGTTTTATTATATAACATACGTAGATAATGTGCTTGCTGTGACTGGTCAAGAACTGTGCTTTATTACTTAACGGAGCATGGTGCTGATGCCTCTGCATAACAAGCTTTGCAAATGACTGTAAAAAACATCAAAAATTAGGGATTTTTTCTATACATAATAACCCAAATGAAACCACCATTTACATTATGTTGTCATTTTACTACTTGTAAGCAGAAACCTGAAGCTGTTCTCATTTTCTTTCTTATTTAATTTTTTTACCCTTATGCCTATTAACTGAACAAAAGAAAGTGTGCAAGGGATTGTGGTAGTTGTAGTATCTGACACTTGTACCTTCATTCCTTACTACATACTTCATGACAGTAGTATTTTTCTCATTGCTCCGTCACAGCTGCAGGTAATGGACATGTTCAAGTGTTGCAGTGGCTGGTAGAAAATGGTGCAAACAGTAAGTGAGAAATCTCTCCCATCCTATTTGATTTCCTATTTGATTTTCATATCAAAGAATGGCCCAAAATAAGCACCCAATTTAGGTGGTTTTACCAGTAAATACCTTCTCCCGCTCAGAGACCCGTAGAATTGCTTGATCTTTATGATCTTTTTCTATCTTTATGTTTGTTTAGCATGCGTGCAAACAGACAGTATACACCTACTTGCAAGAACGTTGTCATACGAAAATAGAACATTAGTGATTTAGTGGGACAGGAATTATATTAAAAAACAAAAGAAGATCACTGAAGCTGAACTTTTTCTTTTGTCTTTTAATGTATTCCTTTCTAACTAAATTACTAATGTTATAATATCGTATGACAACGTTCTCGCAAGTAGGTGTATTCATCTTTGAGATTTGACTTTTAGTTTGGGAGATACGTGAGAATAAGATGAAGGATATCATTCCCAGAGGGGACGGGTGGGGCTATCCAGTAACCATCACCTCTGGAAATCAGGTCTCGTAAGATGACAATTGTTTTGACCTTGTCCCTTAAATTATTTTTCTTTAAAAGATCATCTTGTTATACCAATCAACTTGTCGCTTGGCAGATCAATCTCTTAAAAACAGCCGAACGAATAATACTCCAGTTTCGAGTTCTCTTTGCTCAGTCTTAGTCTCGGTTGTACGTTATAATATTCATCTATTCTACCAAAACCCGTGGTATTTTAATCAACTCGTATTGTTCTGTAGTACGTACATTCCTTACTACACAATGGACCTTAAAGGGGCACTTGGATGAAAACGCCCCAATCTTTGAAAGTCCGAATAATTGAGGTATTTGAGGATAATATGATTCAATTATGATTATGTAAACCAGATTGGAGATTGGCCTGGGAGCCACTTGCTATTGAGATATTTTGGTTCAAAAGCAGAACGAACAATAGGGTTGAGTAAATGACGTCATTTACTCCAAATTTGGATGCTGAATAAAACTGACAATTTTTATCCGCTACATTTTACTGTTAAGAAAGTATGTTGCTTGGCTACTATTGGGGCCATACAGATACGTTTAACTAAGTTTAAAGTCATTTCCAATTTTTATCCATTTTCATCCAARTGCCCCTTTAATAAGAGAAAAGAACACATTTGTACACAATCGAGGCTAAGACTGAGCAAAGGTGAACTCGAACGGGAGTATTTTCATTTTATTCCCATTCTAAAATTTTCATGCACCAAATCCCATTCACAATTACTCCCATTTTATTTCTCATTATTCCTTCCATTTTTCCCCATCAGCACCTAATTGCTTACTATCAATCACGTGACTTTTTGGAGTTGACTGGGGGGCAAACAAGCGGTTGACTGGGGGGTATCTAGCGGATGTTAAGTCAAAACATGTCAAATTAAATCTCCAAACTATTGTATTTGACTATTTCTACGACATAAAACCAGAAAAAAAAGAGACCAAAACAACCTCCAAAATTCTACAAGCCATTAAAAACGTAACTATTACCGGAAGTGACGTCTATTGATAGCAACCTATATTTCTTGTTGTATTATAGTGAGAATAGTCAACTCAGCAGGGGAAACCCCCAAGGATGTGGCACGTCGGTTTGGTCGTCTAGGCTGCCTGGCTATTTTAGGTGGAGACTCAGGTCAGATATGAAAGGTTTTTTTCTTCCCGTGAACAACAAGCATGACCACTTTCTCATCGTTTTCCTGTGCTTCACTTTACCTCTTGCAAACCTTCTCACCAAAGACTAATATTCTTTCTGTCATTCCATTTTACTAATTTCAAAGATTTTTTTACAGATCTACTGGAGTTTCACTTTTGAATTAAGTAGCGAGATTTTAAAACTCTTTAGTATCGTATATTTATCCTGCAATAGACCTAATCGGCTAACATGTTGCTATGTACGTTTCCACCCAATTCAAACCACATGGGACTAAGTTTCATTGTTCGTTATATTTTGGTTTCACAGTTGAATTCGTAGCGACAAACGCTTGAATTGGGTGGTAACGTACATAGCAACACGTTAGCCACATCCGAGATATGTTTCGCTGTCACAAACTAAGGTTTTAGTACGAGGCTACGTGCGAAATGTATTCTTTTCTCCTTTCACGAATTACTGAGCATTATGCACGAAGCCTCGCATTGAAGCCTTTGTGCAAGGAATATTTTGATGAACCGTTGTGTGGAACTTGAGCTGTATTCCAACGTGCTGCAAGGGGTCTACATACCCTTTTAGCACGTAATGTTTTCCCATTACAGACCACGTGTCATTCCCTAGAGTATCATTTCTTTGTTTAAAGGTTGCATATGATAAGACGCATGAATATGGATACAACTCAGACAAAGAATCTTATTATCAGGAGAACGAAACGTGGTCTGAAATGAGAAAACTTTACGCCGAAGTTAAATAGGTCTATTAAGGAGCGTGATAAATAACAACGATTTCAAAAACTTCCACAGATAATGAAGACAATAACGTGATGGATGGCGGTGCTGAAGATATTCAACCTGAAGAACCCCAATCCAAAGCTGAAGCTAGAGGTTAGAAAACGCAAACGAATCAGCTCTTTTCTACGTTCGAGAGTCGCTGGCATTCATGTTTTTTGTTCGTTTTTTTTTTTTTTTTGAATTTTTTTTCGCTTGCTTTTTATTTTGCTCGTGGCCTTAAAATTGTTTGCTGTGAATTTGCCAGTTGTTTTTAATCCAGCGGGTATCCCTTATTTCAGGTGCGCAGTAAGTGTGCGCACTATTAGTAGTAGGGAAGGACCATGCTTTACTATTATTTTGTGTACATGACTTTACTCTTTCATTCAAATATTCTGTTCTCTTTCTCACTTTTTACTTTCCTTTCATTTTCTATTTCTACTGATGCTTGTCTTCAGTCTTGTCACACGTCAATCAAATGGTTGACCGTGATCCTCAGTCTGACTCTAACGACTCTTCTAGCGATGAACTCAGCTACAAGCAACACCAACGAGAATTAGCACGAGGTATTCATGTCACCTGACAGAAACGAATGAAGACTGAAAACGAATCAATCGCGCGAGGACTGGTTACATCCTGGGTCTATTTGGTGCATTGCAAACGTGAATTATTAGCAAGTAAACGATCAGAGGAGGACTGAAAATAAATTTATCGTGGGTGGAGTGGGTGCGATTTTGAGTCCATTTTCGGTAGACTGCAACCAACGTTATGAATGGCGTTTTGATACAATTAATATGAAATGTGCAGTCAACTCTCACTCGTTCCATTTATGTGCAGGTCTTCCAAATGAGTATGTTTGACGTTAAATTCTCCTGACCTTCCTTGCTGCTTGCTTTGTCGTGTGGCTATTACGTGCTTCTTGCTATACTTATATTTGCCTTTTCTCTTTTTTCTTTTCTTTTAATACGAAAAATAAGGGAGCAATATAGTTTCTATTTTCCTCTCCTTAAAACTCGCTGCACGCTGCACGGCGCTTCTGTGTGGATGTGTTGGGGAATCTTGTCTTCAGCAGTCACATGTCAGTGCGATGTCTTTATCATTATTCTTCTAGCCTGTTGTTTGTCTATACCCAGTAGGAGTTCTATCCTATTCCATATTGTCCTAGATAATCTGCTTTTGAAGAGTTCTATTTTCCATTCTGAATATGTGTGCAAWGTATTTAAGATGTTGAAGGTAGCAGAGGTTACGGATTGGGCTAGGACTGGGCTATCAATTCTTTATAGACACTTGCATACACCGTACAATCGTATCAACGATCAATCCACCGAAAACATTCCGAATGCCTCTCGAGCAAACTTCGCCGAACGGATCAGTCTAATATTTGAGTGATTTTATTGTTGTGATGGTTTTGTTGAAGGTCGAGCCATGCGTAAGATTGAGGAGTTGCGACATTTACTGGATGTTGCCAAGATGAACTACAAACAGCTGGGTGGGGTGTTGGATGAAGACCAGAAGAAACTAGAAGAAGAACGAGAAAGCGCAAGGTTGGTAGGATTGAATGAAGGGATAGAGACAAGAAAGAGATGGATGTATGGTTGGGTAGGTGGATGAGAAAGTGGCTTATTGGGCGAATGGATGGGTGGGTAAGTGGGAGGGTGGAATAGTTTGTAGATCGGTAAGTGATTGGATGGGTTGGTGAGATTGTATGAAGGGACAGAGAGAAAAAAAGAGGTTGATGAATGGAATGGTGAGTGGATGGGTTGATGGATGGTATCCTTGTTGGGTCGGTAGCTGGGTGGGTAGATGGTTTGGTGGATGGATGGGTGGATGGATGGGTGGATGGATGGGTGGGTAGATGGTTTGGTGGATGGATGGGTGGATGGGTGGATGGATGGATGG